ATTATAATTCCCATATTTACCAAAAATATTTACATTTACACCTGCCACTAGAAACTTTCTGGAAGGATATATACCAAAATATTAACAGTGGTTATATCTGAATGTAGATTTTTTTTTGCTTATCTGTAGATTTAGGTAATTTTACAGGGAGTGTTAATCATTTTTGGGTATTGAATAATAAAGGAGGAAAGTTATGGAGAAAAGAAAAAAATGATAGGGATTGCAAGCTCATAAACTTTACATCCATGACAAATGATCAGGTGGGTAAAGTTCATGGCCTTGCTACACGTGGGAACATTTTGTCCACTCACAAACATACTCTCAAGTTTTGAGGTGTTCTTGTTGAAACTAAGGTCAATTTTCATTAAAGGTCATGCTTTAAAATTCTGAGTAAATACAATCCAATCAATAATTTCTTTTTTGCTTCAAAAAATGTACAAATTTGACAACATATTTTTGAGTCTTAAAAAAGCTTATTAATTTGTTCAAATGAATCTTAATTTAGTCATTATTTAAATTTCAATCCATGAGACTGTTTAGGCAAAACTAAGAATTTAACTCCATAAATAACAATTTGCACTCTGCCTCAAGTTTAGCGGCCAGTTACCATTAAAATAAGAAAGCAATTAAATATGCTACAAAAGGACTATTTTACCTTTTTTGGGAAAATTTATTGGCAGTTGATATCAGATAATTTTCCATGTGGCGCCCAGTAACAGTAAGATTATAAATCACTTGGGAAGAATAGGTTCTTCTATGAGGTGGTGAATAATTAAACTTAGGACATTCCTGGAAAATGATAAATAAAATTAAAAATTAAGTTTTCTCTGGCCTATACTGAACAAATTAAATAGATAATGACAAAGAGCTTCAGCCTAATGATTTGTCTGTTACTACAGATGGTAGAATATAAAACTGTCCTTTGATTTTGAAAAAGAAGTCATAGTGGCTATTGCCAAGAAATTAAAATAAATAGTTATTGTATATGTAGAGCATATACATGTGCTTAGGGCTCACAGCCAAAAAGAATACAAGTTAATAAACATGTGATCCTTCTTTCAATGCACTGAAATGAAAATATTTTTGAAGAATAACATTAAACATTAAGTTGACTCAAAGTTCCCCCAGTAATTTACCGAGAAAGAAAAAATGTTTGCCCTAAATTAAAAAGACAACATGATCAAACATAGCTTCTCACAGAGAGACAGCTGTGGATGTAAAGATCACGACACATAACTTTTAGATACCTAATTTAGGAGTAAGAACCTAGTTAAATATATTATCTTATATATATGTACATATGTTATATATATATAAATCTTTTAGTTTGTAATAATTTTAGAATTATAGAAGAGAATACAAGTTGTAAAGAGAGTGCAGAGAGTTCCTATGCATCCCTTGGCCACTTCCCCCACTGTGAACATTTTACATTACCATGTACATTCATTTTGAGCTTGTTTTAAAACACTTATTGTTATGCCATAGCGTTCTGAACTTCATCACAACTTACTTGTCACTGCCATGGTATTTAGGTTTGGAAAAATCTGGCATTGTCCAATTTTCCCTTTCATCATCCTTTCAAACTGTGCCCCAGGGCCAGAGGCTAGCACCACATGAACCTGAAGCTGCACATTTCTCTGAAAGGTCAGTGCTGGGTTTAATCTTACATCAAATTGTATCAATTTGAAGATCATGCTCCAGAATGGCACCAATTTCACAATCGAAGGAAGACACCCTTATGTCTACATTGCATTTTAAACTTAAGTTTTATTAAATTATACTATACACATATTGTAAGCATACTGCTTCATGAATTTTGGCAAACTGAACACACTCCAGTTATCAACCAAGTCAGAAGACAGAACAATACCAGTTCTCCAGAATCCCCTCATCACTCTCAAAGGAGTGGACACAGATTAGTTTTGCCTGTTTTTATACTTAATATACATGGGAAAATATAGTAAGTTCTATCTTGTGTGTGGCTTTTTTCATTCATTATTATGAGAACCTTCATATGACTTATAGTTGTAGATAGACTATTTTTGTTTTGCAGTATGTTGTATTCCATTGTGGAAATATGTCACATTTCATTTATCTGTTCTGTGGTTGTTAGGCATTTGAGTAATATTACAGTAGTTTTGTTATGAATATCCAGAGATACCTTTGTCTCTTGGTGAATCTACTCACAATTCTGATGGGTATACAATAAGAATAGGATTCCAGGACCTATAGTATATGCATATTTTCAGCACTACTATATATATCTAACAGTTTAAGAATTGTTTGCACCATATTGAATTCCCATCAGCAAAAAATGAGAGGTTTTTCTCCTTAAATTCTTTTATTGGTACATTTTAGGTATACAATACATTTACATTTATTATTGGGAACTTGTACCTTTACATGGCGTACCTTGGTTTTTATTTTTTTCCCTATTCCCCTGCCCACCCTTTGACTCCTCCACCCCTCCCTATTTACAAAGACTTTGCTTCCATTTTTTCCTTTTCTCATATTTTTTGCTTTCCCCAACCCCTCGCACTTCCCTTACCATTTTGGACCTTTTCTTCCTATTTCACATTATCGATTATTCATTTTGATCCTTATTTACACTTTCAGTTTCTCATACCAGACAAACTATTTGGTATTTACACATGTGTGTCTTATTTATTTCACTTAAGAGTATGTCCTCAATGAGAATCATTTAGCTATAAATGTCTCCAGTTTGTTGCTCTTTTTTTCTTTTTTTGTATTAAATTCTTTTATTGGTACATTGTAGGTATACAACACAATTACATTTCTCATTGGGAATTGTACCTTTATATAAT